ATCCACTCCTTTCCATATTGGATGTACGGTAAAAGACACGCCGGCAAATCGAAACCGCGATGAACGACGCCGCCGACGAACGCAAGGGCAGCGCCAGTGTAAAGAAACAGGCCCGCTCGTCTCTTGAAAAAGAGTCGAAGAAGCCCAGGCAGGCGCTGCCAGCTAGCGTGGAAATCGACTTCTCCTGAGCTTCACTGGTCTAGCATTGAGCACACGGTTCTTCTCTTTGCGCAAGAGCATAATGCATGAACCAAGACCTAGAACCCATTAAGCTACGTTTGAAGATTCCGAGCAAGTTGGTGAGTACTGGTCGAGGGAAGAAAAAATAGTCTCTTCAGCCCGGTGGATTGAGGTATGTTAGTAAAAAACATGAACGCGACAAAATCTGCGAGTGCAGTGGCGCTCGCACTTGCAAGGAAGAGGGCATAAACTGTTGTGATTCGCGGAAGTACGTCGTACACAGGGCATACGCCGCTGGCAGAGGATGCGTTGCAAGTTTTCCGTGCTCCTGCCTTCTTGTTAAAAAAACAACGTACAAAATACATATTTTCCTGTACGGGTCTTGGCGGAGCTCGCGGGAAGACGTGGACCGCAGCCTTCGTATCTTAGCATTCTCAAACTGCACGGCCAGCCATATCACGTTATCATGGATAGCTTCCGGGACTCGTATGAAAACACCCTCACAACCAGCGCCCGTGTTGTACATTTAGGGTTAGTAGCTCCAGACGACAAAGGGCCAATATCTTCGCCTGGACCGCGGCAAGGTTAAATTCATCGCCGGTAAGCTCGGACAACACAATTGTCGGGAAAACCAGCAGCTCATCGAGATAGATTACTCCGATTCGGACAACGTAGGGCAAGTCCTTCTCGAAACTTCTTCTCGTGTTCATTCAACCAACGGCAAGGACACAAATCGCAGCCTTACTGTACAAAGACAATTCCAACACGGGGCACATGTCACGTCCAGACTTTTCCGCGCAACGGCCCTCCTTGACGTCGATGTCCTCTCCGACGAGTCACCCATAGTCCAAGATACCACGTGCATGTTCCGAGGTTCAAGTCGGAGCACGAGGTATTACATTTCATCGCTATCAGTTCCCCGTCAGCCTCCTGTGTTGCGCTATGACCATCAACAAGTCTAAAGGACAAAGAAGTCGGGCTCGATCTCAGAAGTGACACCTTCTGCCATTGCAATTACTTTTACAAATGATACATAACCTCACAGAAGGACTACCCGTTCCAGAAATAGCCACTGTCAATTGTACGTTGCTCTCAGTAGAACCATCTGCCGGGACAACCTCTTTCTTGTCAACCCTGATCGCCTCGTCAACAACGCATGAAGTCCCCCACGTGCACAACGTCGTATTTTCCGAGTTCATCGTTGCTGCAACAGGTCAACGTCCACCAGTGTTCGACGTTCAACTACCTCGTCACGGTTGCAGCGACGACAACTACGAGTAACAATGGCCCAGACGACCCTGGCGAAAACGACGGCAATAACCCTTCCGGTAGCTCTGGTAGCAAAGGGTCCTGGCAAAATGTAGACTATATTGGTGATGGTGCATACCTACGATGTATCGCCCGTTGCATCGTCGGTTGGAGCGCAACCCATGGGCAACATAACCTCAAGCTTCATACCCTCATCCCAGCATCAGGGCAAAATATTTTTTCCAGTCCCTCTCTACTGGAATAAATTCAGAATACATTCCAATAGCCGGTCAACAAACCTACCGCAGTGTCGCGCAGTACTTCCATCTCATGGCAAACCCAACTGCCTACGGAACAGACATAGAGGTTATAGCTGCCCCAACAGTTGTACAACATTCACATGAGAGCTACGCTACACTCACTCGTTCGGCAAGCGTACCCGCTTCCAACCTCCAATGACCTGTGATGCATGCGACTTATTTCACGGTCACGAGCACTACTGCACCGCACACTACAACACAGCCCCTACATACATTTCCGCGTCCTCTTGCGTCGCCCCCTGGAGGCCATTGCGCCTACCTCCCGAAGGGGAGCCTTGAATGTATTGCTACAATACAATAAACATCTTATCATATACCTGAGTTCCTCCTTGGGGGATCCCTGTACAGTATATAGTGGTATCCTTTTACAATACAATATACCAGGTACACACCTGAGTTCCGCCTTGGGGGATGCTTGCGCAGTACATAGTATATTGTTACAATACGTACATATAAGTTTTGGTCACTTTTCGTGCTACGGCATTCTTTCTCTCGCGGCAACGAGTCCTTTCGCGCGATTCCTTCTCAGGGGCACGCACGAGGCTCGCCGGTACATTAACGCTCGTGCCCGGAGCTTGGTAGGCCTCCGTGGCGTGTGGATGGCCATCAAAGTTGCGAAAAATGGCTCAATACCCCGGGGGCGAGTTCCGCGCAGACAAAGTCTGGCGAACCTATTCTGAAACACATCAAAATCGATAGTAAAAATTGTTGCCTCTTCGGCTTGTAAATCTCCACATTCATTCATTCATTCGCTGATTCCACATCGCTGTGACTCTTCCTGTCATCGCAATGTCCAACAGTACCACCGATTGCTCTTTTACACACGCAGCGGGCCCACTGAAGAGCTGCTTGCTGCTGAAGACAAGTCTTAGCACATGCACCCGCAGTGTTGAACTTATTTGTTTGTGGCGTTGTTTCGGATTCAAATTCCGTTCTTATTGGAAATCTGCCATCATCAAGCACAACTCAATTCTGCTGGCAAGTTGTTGTCCGCTCGAGCTGGCTCCAACGAGGAACAACTATTGTGCGCGATGTCTTGTACGGAACACGAGGGTTACAAAATTGTCCATCAATAGTAAGAAACATGGCCCCTCTTCGGGCAATGCGCATGCGGTCATGCGTCACCCAGGGGAGGCTTGACAAGCAGGTCCCGAAGGGAGGCCTTGTACAATACACATGTTTTCACACACCTGAGTTCTTCCTTGTGGTAAATCTCGTGGACGCAGCGAGCCAGTTCCCTGGTGCTGTCGGCCTCGTCCCACACCTTCCGGTCCCACCCACGCTCTCGCAATGCGCTTGGAGCCTCGCTAGCTCGCCTGCGTAAGAAAACGGAGGTACAACATACATACATTCATATTACATTAGTACATACATACATACATACATACATACATACATACATACATACATACATACATACATACATACATACATACATACATACATACATACATACATACATACATACATACATACATACATACAGACAGACAGACATACATACATACATACACACACATACATACATACATACATACATACATACATGCCCCCACATTCAAATAAACATTCATAGCCAAGTTTTTTGTCGAAAACGGAAAACACTGTCGTTTGTTGAAACCGTAAGAAATGAAAGCATCATCGTTGGAAAACTGGGGACTGGTATACGTAGATTAGATCCCGTGTGCCCCCCACTAAAAAGTTCTAGACATCACAGGGGAGCACACGTGCACCGGTGTTGTAGGTCGTAGCGCTTGTGAGCGCAAGAGGACCATCGGAGTACGTGGGCACGCCGAAGGATTGAAGCACTGGCCGACATAGAACAGGTGGTCAAGAAAGTAGTGTCTTTTCCTCTTCAGGCTGGAGGCTAGGCGCCAGGCGGGAGGTACGAGTGACCGAGGAAAGGCGCATTCGCGGGCGGGAGAGGCTTCTGCCAGGTGGGTGCAGGGTGCAGAGCGTGCAAAAGCGAACACGACGCGCCGAGCGCGACACTATTTGCGTTGCCTCATGCTTCTCCTCTCGGCGTTCGGTTTGAGGCGCGCGTGGCAGCAGCGGGGGTCGCTTTGGTGGCCATCGCGGCTGCAGCACGGAAACAGCCGACTGAAAAACGAAAGTAAAACAAGACGAGAAAAAACAAAAACGCGGTCGTGGGCGCGGCTAATGATGAATGATATCGCCCCCCTTATCTCCCCTGCAACGCCATATCGCATGCAGGCGAAATAACGTCGCTCGAACTGTGCCTTGTTATTGAGTTGGCGGTTGGCTTCGGCCACCGATGCCAACGATCTCCGCAGGTTACTCGGATCCGGAGTGAAATACAAAAACGTCAAAATATAACGTAAATAGACATATATTTTTTAAGTATATGTAGCCGCCTATAACTTCCGCAGGCGAAATAATGTCGCTCGAACGGTGCCCTCTACTGAGTTGGCGGCTGGCTTCGGTCACCGCTGCCACAAATATCTCAGTAGTTTAGTCGGATCCGGAGCGAAATCGAAACACGTCAAATATGGACAAACCCTGCAACGCCATACGTCACATGCAGGCGAAAATATTGTCGCTCGAACGGTGCCCTGCTGCTGAGCTCGGGGCTGGCTTCGGTCGTTGCCGCCACCTCAGTAAGTAGTCGGATCCGGAGTGGACAATGAATAAAAACAATGTCAAACAACACTAAATTGTCGCTCGCATGGTGCCCTGCTGCTGAGCTCGGGGCTGGCTTCGGCCGTTGCTGCCACCTCGTAGTCCGATCCGAGTGCAATATTCAACTACAATAAATTGTCGCTCGAACGGTGCCCTGCTGCTGAGCTCGGGGCTGGCTTCGGCCGTTGCTGCCACCTCGTAGTCGGATTCGAGTGCAATATTCAACTACAATAAATTGCCGCTCGAACGATGCCCTGTTGAACTTGGGGCTGGCCTCGGCTATCGCTGCCAAATCAGCAGGCAGTCGGATCCGGAGGGCACACTGAATAAAATGCAATGCTAAACAACCATAATTTGTCGCTCGAACGGTGCCCTGCTGCTGAGCTTGGGGCTGGTATTTGCCAAAAAGAAATATGTATATATATATATAGCAGGTCGTCGGATCCGGAGTGCACTGAACGTCACTCGAACGGTGCCCTGCTGCTGAGCCGGGGGGCTGGCTTTGGTAATCGCCGCCAACTCAGTAGGTAGTCGGATCCGGAGTGCAATCACAATCGACAGACGCCATTGTCAAACAACAGTAAACTGCCGTTCGAACGGTGCCCTGTTACTGAGCCAGTGGCTGGCCCCGGCCATCGCCGCCAACTCAGTAGGTAGTCGGATCTGGAGTGCAATAACAATTAATAGATAACAGTAACATACAAAAATATTGTCGCTCATACGGTGCCCTGCTAACGAGCCGGTGGATGGATCATCGCCGCCAATTCGGTAGGCTAGTCGGATCCGGAATGTAATAACAATAACATGTCAAACAATTGTGAACTGTGGCTGGAACGGTGCCCTGTCGCTGCGATGGCCGCTGGCCCATGCAACCGCCGCACATCTAGCAGACAGTCGAATCCGGAGCGAAGCGAACGTCGCTCGAATGGTGCCCTGCCGCTGCGCCGGGGGCTGGCTTCGGCCATCGCCCCTAACTCCGTGGGTAGTCGGATCCAGAGTGCAACAAAATACACATGTATCTGAAAAAAAAACAGGAAAGACGCCGCTCGAAGGGTGCCCTGTTACAGAGCTCGGGGGCTGGCTTCGGCCACCACCGCCTCCTCAGTAGGTAGTCGGATCCGGAGTGCCGATGCAAGTCGATCGAACGCCGGTCATCGATGAAACCTGACGCCATGCCTTGAAATTTTTCGTCACCCAAATTTTTTTAACATGATCAGATATGCCGCCACGCGCGGCAGCGAGGGCGCGGGTCACCCGATTGTCGTCCCGTACGAATGCACACGGTGCGGAGGCAGCCGGTCATACGAGGGCGCGATCGTTAGCACGGTCGTCAGCTAGGTCATGGGCAGGGCGGGCGACTGCCCGTTCTAGTCCTCGCGCGAACCGCCGGGGGACGGCGACGCGGGGCGTGGCCACCGCCACGCGCTCTCAGTCTGAGGGGCCGTCACCCATAGCCGCTCTGCAGCAGCTGCGGCAAGAACTCACCGAGAAGTTCGAGCAGAAGGAGGATGAGCACCGGGAGGTGGTCGATCAGATGCAAGCGCAAACCGACGACCTCTGCATTAGCAATCTTGGTAGCGCTGCAGGGGGGTCTGCGGGGGAGGTCGAGCTGCTAGGGACTCAGGGGCCGCCACCGGATGCGGCTACGCCGGCGACAGCTGAAGGAAGCCATGACCGAGCGGAAGAACCTCCACACACGCATGGCCTGGCTGATTCTTGCTCGGCGCCCCCTCATAAGCACTCTCACGGCCTCCCAGTGGCAAGCATCTTACCCAGACGTTCACATCAGCCCGCAGATCGCGTCGACGCTCCAACACGTTCACACGATTCTGCGTCTCGGACTGGCGTATGGCGTCCGACAGCGCGTCGGCAACGGTCAACATCGACGAGTCGTTCGAGATCATGATCGAGGTCCTCTGCGACGCCTTGGGTCGCGGCATCAACGACAGAGAGAGTAAAGCGCGACTGCATCTTCTCGAAGACGCCCTCCGGGAGGGGTTCCGCGACGTACGCAATCACCTCCGCAAGCACCGTGACGAGGTAAGGACTGCTGCCAGCCGGCGCCTTCTCCTGTCATTCCTCGACGAAAATTTCAAGACGTTCGCCAACGACTGTTTCTCTGCCGCGCACACTATCAGAGGCAGTCACATCGCTCCTCCGGTCGGCGTCGAGAACTATCCCCCGGTGCCCACGCCCAAGTTCACCACCACGAGGAACTTCATCGCGACTGGGGGGCTGGGAAACGCCGCCTTTTTTCGGCCGGCCCCTCCGTCAGACGTCATGTCGCCGACCAAGCGTATGCGCAAAGAAGGGCCGGCGTCCAACGAGTAGGCATCCTGGACGAGTGCAGGGTACCACCGCCGCAAGTCGCGTATCTGCTTCGCGCACGTCAAGGTAGGCTGCGAGAACCCCAAGGACCCCGTTTCGGACCGCACATCATCGGGGGCTCGCGGGGGGTCCACGGGGGGTGCCCGAGGCAACCAGGGCCGGGCTAAATAGCGGTGGCACCGGAGGCGGAGGCGGAAGCGGGGCAGGTGGCGCTGTCTGGGGGAGTGGCGATAGGCCTCAAGCATCTTCCTTCTTCCGAAACGGAAAAAGCGGGAAAAGCAAATGGGGGCGCGGGCCTTCCCGGGCAGCGGGGGGGGCTACCGCAGGTGTGGATGCGGTTTTGCGTGATTTCAGCGACGAAATTCGTGTTCTCGTAGCGGACAGAGAGCCGTTAGCAGTAGGGGAATCTTTGTTTCGGGTGGATGGGGTGTGCCTGACCTTCCTTGACATGCATGACGGAAGCTTTGAATCCATGCGCACGCTAGAAGACGTCCTGCCGATACCCCGGGTGGACCCCACGCGGGTACGACAATGGTTCGGCGGGGTCAAGAACTTCCCCTTGATTGACCTACTTGTTCACATTGTTTCGTTCGGAGTTCCGGTACCGGATACAGCGGGGGGTGAAATAGTTGCGGCCTTGCAGTAGGCCAATCATAGGTCTGCACGACCGCACGGCGCGCAGATCCTCGAAAAGGTTAGAGATGATGCTCAGTAAGGCAGAGCGTTCGTCTTTCCGAAAACCGCGGCGTCTCATATTGAGAGTTTGCGTGTCTCACCGCTTGGAGTGGTCGTCAACCCAAAAAAAAAGCACGGTTCATCAATGATTTGCGGTTTTCGGGCGTGAACCAGGACACGGATACCTCTAGCGCACCGGAATGCAAGTTGGGCCACGTGTTGCGTGACGTAAGTCTGGCGAGTGCTGTATCTGTACAATCGGTTCGTTCGCTACTCGTGAGCCCAACCCCGCGATTCTGATCTCCAAAATCGACTCAAAAGACGCTGTTCGGCAAGTGTGAGTGGAGAGGGCGCGTTCCCCGACGTTCGGCTACGCCTTTGGCGAGGTCATAGTAGTGGATCGGCAATTGCAATTCGGATGGAACCTTAGCCCCCAGTATTTCTGCTTGTGAACGGCCGCCATCGAACACTCCCACAATCGCACGGCCGTCGATTCCGCCGTCATGGCATGTCACGGTCGAGCGGCCACGGAGCACATTCGCGTGTTGCCCGCCGCAGAGGCAAAACAGGCCCATCTCCCAGCGCCATGTGCGCTTCCCCCGGGGTCAGGCGGGGGACCGGATGATCCGTTCTTCGCTAGAACATATGTAGACGATGCCATCGGCGTCGAGGTGCACGCCGAGCAACCAGGCAACGACCGGTGTCTGCTAGCGTCAGCGTTTCTAGCGTCGGACCACTTCAGGATATTCGGCGACAGGCCGCGTGGTTTCCCCCCCCTCTTTTCGTCGAGCAAGCTAACGTCGTGGGAGCCGCGTATGGAGGTGCTTGGTTGGGATCTTGGTACGAAAGCGCTGTCGATCTCTGTGCCCCACACGAAACTCCTCCGGTTCACGATATGTTGGCCGATTGGTTGGTCCGTAGTACCGCCCCAGAAAACAAAGTGCTGTCACTCATGGGCAAGCTTCTCCACATTTGCGACGTAGTCCGTCCCGGGAAATTATTTGTTCGTCGGATGCTCAATCAGTTGGGAATGCCGCCAGGTCAGCCTTGGGACGAGAAACTGTATCGATCCGGGGGCGGTCCGCACAACTCCAATCGGGTCGTTATGCTGGGCCCAGAGTTCCGTTCGGACGTGTCGTTTTGGCATATGATGGTTCAAGGGGCGCTGGGCGCTGACAAGCAAGGGAGGCTAGCCATGCCGTTGTACAGCTTTTACATGCAACCACATGTCCGTACGTTGTGGAGCGACGCTGGCGGGGACGCGATGGGTGGTTACTGTTTGGAGACGGGGAAGAACTGGCGGATAGACTTTCCCGGCGACGTCAGACCACGCTTGCGCAACCGCATGTTGGGTAGAGATGATCTCAGCATCAACGTCCTTGAACTGCTCGGCATCGTAGTCACAGTATAGGCATCTACGGTATATGCAGGAACCATGCCCGAGTACCAGGGACAGAGTGTTCTTATGAGAGGTGATAATATGAGCGCTGTGCACTGGTGCAATCAATGCAGAGGGCCAAAAGAGCCAAGGCCGGGAGCGATGATGGGAGTGATGGGGTGCTTAGAGATGCAGCGTGGCTGGTCGTCGGATGGGGTGCTTAGAAAAGCCCTATCACCTGAGCGGGTGATTCAGAAACAAAGGAAAATGGTTGTCGGATGTATACAAGCAGTATGCTCAGAACAATGTCGAGCACTCGCGTAGGGTGTCGCGAAAACTAACGAAGGGGACAAGGTTTGACGTAAGACAGCCGGGGGAAGGTACGATATGGGGAACGAGGGGTTGACTGCGCGTGGGCACTAGTATGGCCGGCTGCATGGAGGCAGTAGTCTGGAGTAGACCTCGGCTTGGGTGGAGTTGAATGGTCGAGTACCATTTGGGGACTTGGTGACTCAAGACCCTTGCGTGCAGTAGCAGTAGCCGGTGTTTTCCCCCCGCTGGATTTAGCTGACTTGCGTTCGCAGAGAGAGGATGAGACAGTTTTTGAGGGGGAATCAGGCGCGTGGATTGTGTCTTTTCTCAGCGCCGGTAGGATCCTACCCCTTCTCTCTTTCTATCCTGGTGATCTGGAAACCGATAATGATGAAGCAACGCGAAAGAAATCAACAAACGCCAAGTTTGTTGTCGAAAACCGAATACACTGTCGTTTGTTGAAACCGTAAGAAATGAAAGCATCATCGTTGGAAAACTGGGGACTGGTATACGTAGATTAGATTCCGTGTGCCCCCCACTAAAAAGTTCTAGACATCACAGGAGAGCACACGTGCACCGGTGTTGTAGGTCGTAGCGCTTGTGAGCGCGAGAGGACCATCGGAGTACGTGGGCACGCCGAAGGATTGAGGCACTGGCCAACATAGAACAGGTGGCCAAGAACGCAGTGTCTTTTTCCCGCCCACCCACTCCTTTTCTTTCGAAGGTGGGGGAACGGAAACGGGTACGAAGCCCTTATTTCCTTTGGTGAGGTTTCTAGAGTTGCCTGAAGGGTGTAGATGAATGGTCGAGTACCATTTGGGGACTTGGTGACTCCAGACCCCTGTGTGCAGTAGCAGTAGTCGGTGTTTTCCCCCGGCTGGGTTTAGCTGACTTGCGTTCGGAGAGAGAGAATGAGACAGTTTTTGAGGGGGAATCAGGCGCGTGGATTGTGTCTTTTCTCAGCGCCGGTTCCTACCCCTTCTCTCTTTCTATCCTGGTGATCTGGAAACCGATAATGATCAAGCAACTCGAAAGAAATCAACAAAACATACATTCATACAGACATGCCCATATTCAAATATACATACATTCACGGCAGCAGGCGGACAGCAACGTCTTCTCGTTCTAAGGACAGCAACGCTGGGGCGGTGGTCCCACTGATATGTTTCATTTTCAGTATGCATGTCGTGTTTGCTGGTGTTGGCGATGGTAGTGCTGTCGAGTTTGCCGGCAAATATACCGTCGTGGCTTCTTCCTAGAACTTCCTTTTCCGTGTTCCACACTGAACACCTCGAAGCTCTATGGTGTGTCCCAGGGTAAATGAACAAAGGGACTGGACAACGATAAAAAAATATCAATCTTAGACTCTTTTCTAGATAGAGATGGATTGGTTGTGTCATACTAGGAAAAAAAAAAATGAAAAAATGAGACCCTAAAACAACACAAAACAGAATATCCGACACACACAAAACTTCACAGTACACCATCGTGTGCCATGTGCAGCATGTTTCAACACCAATTCCACACGCGCTTGCTGTTTAACACAGATTCATAACCTTTTCTCGTGTTCTTTTCGCACCGCGTGCAACTGACACCGTGGGTGCTACCACCGTGATATACTGTCAGACCCTATGATGAACCGCCATATGCATACAAGAACCGGAGACAACGCCAAACAAGCTATTTATTTCAACAAACAACAAAAAAACACAACAAGAAAATGAAGTGCGTGCTAAGATTTGTGTGGCTTACCGTGCCTCCTTCTCCAGGCAAGCCTCGTCGAGCGGAACTGGCGTCTTCTCCGCACCCTTATACCTGCACAGCAGCATGCACACAACACGATAAACTTACATCACATGTGCGATGGGAAAAATACCCATTCAACACCGTAGACGGTGATTAAACCACAGTCTACGCAACAACGGCTGGCAAGATATTCAATTCTATGCATCGCAGATCCCCACCTCTGTCGTTTTGTCTCGGTCTCTGTCTCCGATGAGTCTGCTGTTGGTCGTTAGGTGAACCAAGTGAAGGAATTTCCATGCCAGTCAGTCTCTGTCTCTCTCTTGTCTTTCTCTCCCTCTCTGCCTCTGTGTGTCTCCCTCCCTCCCTATTTCTCCGCCCCCCCCATCCCCTTCTCGCTCCCGTGCCCCCCCACCCACCCACCCTCTCTCTCTCTCTCTCTCTCTCTCTCTCTCTCTCTCTCTCTCTCTCTCTCCCTCTCCCTCTCCCTCTCTCTGCCATCTCCACCGACCACCGCACCTGTCCATCTCGATCTGCTTCGAGATCTCCGAGGAGTACAACGCTTTCAAAACGCTCGAGGAGTACTTCGCCAACGCTTCCTCCGACACCACCGCTTTCGCGGCCTTCCCCTCTCCCGCCACCACAGCCTCAGGTCGAGCTAGCACCTGCGTCAGGAAGAAACCGGGGGCCGGTCCAACGTCCAGACAACAAAAGCGTTGAAGGGTCTGGAATTGGGGTTCAGGGGGTTGGGACACTGCCCGGCCGACAAAGTTAACAAGTCGTCAACAGAACCAATAAATATCGTGGCGAGGATATACGAGGTGGTAAACGCACCACAGCAGTTGGATAGCTGGACGTATGTACTAATACGTGCCCGCCTCGCCGTCAACGGGTGTTTCGACTTGACGGACGGTAGAAGGGCCTCCGCAGACAGCAGCTGAAGGGAATAACGGTATGTGTTTGGAAGGCTGGGAATTTTGCGCTCCCGGAAAAAGGGGTCTTCGCGGACGGCCAAAGGGTCCCCGGGGACAGCAGTTGCATGGCTGAACGTATGTATGTGCCCGGTGTCAAGGTTGGTATCCACGGACGGTAAAAGGGTCTCCGCAGACAGCAGTTGAAAGTACCCACGGTGGTACTCATTTGGATGACTGGAAATTTTGAGCTCCGGGTCAAAGGGGTCTCCCGGGAGGCAAAGGGCCCCCGCGGATACTGTAGTAGTTGAAGGAACACAGGGCAGTTGGATGGCTGGCATGCGTGCCCCCCCCGGTAGCGGGGGTCTCCGCGGACCGAATACGATTGTAAAAACGCCCCCCCCC